AGGCATTCTTGAGTAGAGAAGTGCTGCTTCCTTAGTTATGATCCTGAAATATACCCTGTTCATTTCCCTAACAAACCCCATAATCGTGAATATTGTTATGAGTTTGGGGTATGGTCATTGCAACGAATTATTGGACTCAGATGTGAAGAAGAGAGTGTTGTGGGAGAAATGGCTAATGTGAGAATATGGTAAAGAAGGTTATATGGTGGAAGCATGCCTGACCTCTGCTTCATAGGAATGGCCTTTGGCTGATTTTGAGTTTGATTCTCCATGAAGCCAGGGGAAGTCAAACATGATCCCCACATGATTTTAGCAGTGATTGTACATTGATGTGTTTCTAGGCTCTCACCAGCTGTCTTCTATGGGTTTAGGTAGTGAATGGAAGCATATACACCGCTCTCCTTTATCGTTCATGCCCCTCAGCTTATTGTGGTTTTGGCTGGTGTTGGCTGCTGTCTACAGTTGATCAGGCGGTATGTTGTTATTAAGAGCTGTCGAGTTGGTTCTGACTCACAGTGACCTTGTATAGGTTTCCAAGGAGCAACTGGTGAGTTTGAACTGCCAACCTTGTGGACCAGTGCTTATCCTACAGAGCCATATATTGCTGTTGTTACGTGCCATTAAGTTGGTTCTGACTCAGCAGCTCTGTATGGGGTTTCCAAGGAGTGGTTGGTGAGTTTGAACCATCGATCTTGTGGTTGAGTGCTTATCCTACATCACCATATTGACTCTTGCCCAGTGAGTGAAGCTGCAGAAGGTATGGTTGTGTCTGGGCTATATAGGGCATCGTTGTTATTTCCTGTTGAGTGGAAAAGAGGAAACCCTTTCCCTTCAACATACACACAAGTAAGAAAACAAAACAAGGAACCAACAACTAAAAGAGAATGTAATAAAGAGAAAAATAAATTAAAAGAGGCAGCAGCAACAACAACAACAACAAGAATATAATAACTATAAAGACAAAAGAGGGACAGGGAAATACAGCTATAGAAGAGACAGGTAAGTAAAATTAATAAGAGACTTAAGAATGTCTTAACTAAAGAGAAAAGAGGGATAAGAAAATGGAGTTATGAAAGAGAAGAATAATAAAGGAAATAAAAGGAAGAAAGGAGAAACAAACAAAACAAAAAGGCACTTAGAAAACCAGAGAGAAGGAAGATGAAAAGAGAGAGTAGAGGGTAGTAAAGATCAAAAGGGGGGAAAAAAGAGTGGAAATGAGGAACAGAAGAAGGAAGAACAAACATGGAGATTTGTCATTGTTGTTGCTAAGTGCCATTGAGTCAGTTCTGACCCATAGCTACTCTGCATTGGGTTTCTGAGGAGCAGCTTGTGAGCTTGAACCACCAACCTTGTGATTCAAACGACATTGCAGTCCAGCACATGAATCCATGGTGCCACACCAGGACTCTAAAAGCGGAGCTAAAAAGGATGAAATTCAGTGGAAAGAGAAGTAGAAGGAGGACAGAGTAAACAAACAAAACAATAAGACACCAAAAGGAAAAGAGCAAAACCAAAAGAAAAACAGTATAACTGTTGGAAGTGGAGAAGAAAAACTTGAGGGGAGGGGAGGGAGGTACTGCAAGCCAAAGCGCTCACCAGGTGAGTAGGTGAGTGTGGGAGGTATATGACAGCAGAGTTCCTGGCCCTAGATGGAGTTATCAGTGTTGGTGTTATCTATGTTCAGGGCATTCAATCGGGAAGTAGTTTGTAGAGGCTGGTTTCAGTGTACAGGGCAGCTGAGGCAGGGTGACTGGTTAAATGCTGGTCTGGTGACTCTGCAGGTTCTGTGGATCTAGAGCAGAGTCTTCCTGAATCCAGGCACTGAAACAGGGCACCAAAGTGTTACATCCGGCCCCTGACTCACACTGGTATGGCTCTTAACCATGTGGCTCTGAACTCCTGGAGGTGGAAACTGGCCACACCTGGTAACCAGGGGAGCATGGGGAAAAAGAAACCTTCCCAGTTTACTGTGTGAGTCTGTTCTGCTAGGTCACCTTCTGTTGCCAGAGCTGCTCACAAGGTGGCCACACCATGTCTTGCTGGCCGTTCACCAGTTAAGTCTCCCTCACTCACCATCGTTGCTCAGCTTCTCCTCCCAACATGCACTCAGTCTTAATCTTTTCTCTGAAGTTCAGGGTTCCAGAATTTTCATCGATGTCTGTTTCATTTGGTGTCCTGTATCTTTGTCGTAGAGGGTCTGTGTAATATGTTTGCCTAGTCCACCATTATACTGGAAATCCTCTAATGTACAGACTTTTGATAATTATCTCCTAATTAATATTGTTAAGTGCTGTTAAGTTGTATCTGACTCACCCTGTAAAGGATTTCTAAGGAATGATTGGTGGGTTTGAACTGCTGACCTTATCCTACATTATTAGTATGAAGTGATACTAAAAATCTTTTCATATTTGCTTAGTCATAGTATCATTTGTCTCTTTTTTGCCCATGTATCCAAGAAGCAACCATTATCATGAATTTGAGCTGTTCTAAATGTTGTTTGGAGTCCTGGTGTGGCATTGTAGGATACGTACTGGACTGCTAACCACAACGTGAGATGTTCAAACCCATCAGCCATTCCTCGAAAACCCTATCCAGGGTTGCTGTGAGTTGAAACCAACTCAGTGGCACTTAACAACAGCAACAACAGTGACTTGTCTAATGACTTGTGGGAATCCTGTTGTGATGCTGTGGGGTTAACACTGGGCTGCTAACCAAAAGGTTGGTGCTTCAAATCCACCAGCCGCTTCATGGAAACCCTTTGCAGGGTTGCTATGAATTAGAATCAACTCGACAATTATGACATTAAAATACCTGGAAATTATTTGACTTGTCTTTTTATTTGAAATACATTTTAGATTTATCATTGTACAAAGGTCACTTATTTCTTTAAATATTGTGTGCATTATAGATACTTATCATGACATTATCCATCAGACTAAACCCACTGCCATTGAGCCAATCCCTACTCTGTCCTTATCAGATGGAGTAGAACTGCTCCAAGGGTTTCTGAGACTCATCTTTCTCCTCCAGAGGCAGTGGTGGGTTTGAACCACTTATTTGAAGTCAGCAGCCCAACATTTAACCCACTGCTCCATCAGGGCTCCTTTCATGATATGGTTAGTTGTTTGTATTGCCTTGGGTAAATCTGCTGCAAAAGATTTCTGTCAAGTTTTAAAGAGCAAAGATGTTACTTTGAGGACTGAGGTGCACTTGATCTAAGCCTTGGTATTTTCAGTCATCTCATCTGGACTGCATACCACAAGGTTGGTGGTTTAAATACATCAGCTGCTCTTCGGAAACTTTGTACAGGGTCACTATGAGTCAGAATCAATGCAATAGCTCTTAATAGCAGCAACATGTACATGCAGAGTTAGACAGTGACTAGAAAAACCAAAGAAGAATTTATGCCTTTGATTTATGGTGTTGATGAAGACTTTGAAAGTATTATGGATTACTAAAGCAAATCTGTCTTAGAGGAAGTACAGTTAGATTACTAAAAAGTAGGGGTTACAAGACTTGTCTCTCAGGCTCTGGACATGTTGTTAGAAAGGACCAGGTCTTGGAAAGAAGGACATCATGCTTGGTAAAGTATATATATATATATTTGTTGTTGTTGTTAAGTGCTATCGAGTTGGTTCCGACTCATAGCAATCCTGGATAGAGTTTCCATGGAGCAACTGTAGGGTTTGAACTGCTGACCTTATGGTTCACAGTCCAGTACGGATCTTACAGTGCCACCCCAGGAGTCCTACATATATGTATATGTATATGAGAGAGAGAGAGAGAGTTCTGTAACAAAAACAAGGGACTAGTTAATCTTACAGTACAGGAACAGAGGACCCTAGGACCATCAAGGGGGAAGAGCATGAGTGGAATGTGGGACCCTATCCAGAGAAGCACTGACATCAGAGATGGAGGCAGAGATGAGGACATGGAGAGATTGAGCAGCTGAGAACTTTAGACTCATGGAAAGAGAAAGACTGAGTGTTGGTGGCCAGGAGGATAGGCTTGCAGAATGTGCCCTTTGGTTGGTCAAATTATATATTCCTGAGTGTTTTTGTGTACATCCTCCCTGCCAAAAAACAAACAAATGAAAAAATAAAACAGGGAATAGAAGCAAATACTGTTGAATGATGATGCATGAAGGCAATTGTAATCATTGCAGTGAAGCGATGAGTGTAAAACTGATGCACTCCCATGTAAACTATCACTCAATTCACAATTGAAAAAAACACAACAAAGTATATACACACAAAACCCTTCTGAGATGTGATGAGAATCATTACCTTAATCCATTTAATAGGTAGATTGAAAAAAAAATTACTTTTACATAATACCTCAGAAATGTGTATCTTATATAAATGTATCTTATGTAATATTATTAGCACTTCAGTTTATTAAGAACAGAGATTTTTGAGGTCCTCGTGTGGTACTGTAGGATACACACTAGACTGCTAACCACAAGATCAGCAGTTCAAACTTATCAGCTGCTCCTCAGAAACCCTATACCAGGTCACTATGAGTCTGAACTGACTCAGCAGCACTTAACAGCAATAAGAGCATGGCATAATAGAAAAAGCAATGTCTTTGGATCTGAGAGATCAAATCATTGTCTCTGAGATCCATTTTTAAAAGTTCTAGAAAATAGGAATAATAAGAGATCTATCAGAAAGGTTGTTTTGATAATTAAATGAAATATAATTTATTTGAAAAGAATTCAGGGTCTAGTTGTTATAATGTTGAATTGAAATCTGAGCAACATTACAGTACTAACTAACGGGTATTTTTCAATTGAGATCATTACAGTAAAACTTAAGAAAATTGAAATAACAAAACCTCATGCTATTTTAGCTATGACAGTATAAACTCAAGTTTTGAACTTGTTTTTGAAGAGACGGAAGACTCATAATGCAGTTTTAATGTAAATGTAATTAAAGTGACCTTTTAGGAAAACAAAAGTGTGTGGAAATCTTATTATTATTATTTTTTTCTACTTCCAGCTTCATTTACCTCTCAATTCTCCTTTGCCTGGAAGTGAATTGACCAAGGAGCCTTTTCGTTGGGATCAGAGACTCTTTGCATTAGTGTTGCGGTTGCCTGGCACCATGTCGGTAGAATCAGAACAGTTGACAGGTGTACCTTTGGATGACTCTGCAATCACACCAATGTGTGAAGTAACAGGAGGTAAGTTTTTTACACATTTGCTAGCAGAATTTCTTTGTCTTAAAGCAGAGTTTACCTAAATGTTTTTATATGTACTTTTCAAAAATCCCATTCTTGTCTTCATTGAACAAGTAGATACTAGGGTTTAATAAACATATGCTTGTGGTGCTGTGGGTTAATGTGCCAGACTGCAAAGCAGTTTGAACTGCAAGGTTGATAGTTCAAGCTCACAAGCTGCTCCTCAGAAACCCCATACAGGGTCGCTATGGGTCAGAATCGACTTGACGGACTTAGCAACAGCAACCACAACATATGGTTTTAAGATTTCATTTATTGATGAAGGTTTGTGATGTTGATTTGAAAATAATGGTCTATATTGGATCTGATGAGGAATGGTAATATTTTTCTACTTAAATATAAAATGCTGGTAAGTAAAGTTAAAATAATTTTCTTACTTATGGGCTGGGCTGCTAACCGCAAGGTCAGCAGTTTGAATATATCAGTCACTCCAAGGGAGAAAGATGAGGCTTTCTGTCCCCATAAAGGTTTACAGCCTTGGAAACCCTGTGCCTGGGTCTCTGTGATTTGGAGGTGACTCCATGGTACACCACAAAGATTGCTAATGACTTAGAAATGCCAGGTCACTATATTCTGTGAGAAATGATTCAAGAATCACCTCTATCCATTTGATGGTATATGCCTAGACTATAGTTTTTCCCAAAGACAAGTTTGAGGAAGCAGGTAGTGAGGTCTTATCCAGATTATGTTTCACTTACAAATGTTATCAGAGAGCCACTGTGTTAAATAAACATTAATTAAACTCTTAAACTATCGTATGTAATAGACTCAAAACTTCTATCACATGAAATTAGATAACAAATGGGTTAATTTTGGTAATTTCTTTACATTGAGTATCTACTGTGTATCAAACGTTGTTTCATACTTTTAGAGTAAATTTGCATAGACATAGAATTCCTGTTTTCACAGAACATTTTATTTCTTACCTGTCTGTTTGACCTGCTCGCGGTCAGCAGTTCTGTGGGAGAAAGATGAGGCTTTCTGCTCCCATACAGATTTACAGCCTTGGAAATCCTGTACAGGTCGCTATGAGTCAGAACTGATACCACAGCATGTAACACCAACAACCTGTTTTAAGGGCATATGGCATAGTCTCTAGATACAGTCAGTGCTTTCTGAGATTACTAGCTTTCTACATCAGTAAGGGAAAATGTTTGTTGCAAACCATTAATACGCTAGGGTACTTATTGAAAGGCTGGAGATTCAAGTCCTCCCAGAGTTCCTCAGGACAAAAGCCTAATTCTAAAAAGTCAGCCATTGATATTTTAATGTACTTGTGGTGGAGTACAATTCTACTCTGACACACATGGAGTTGCTGTGAATTGAAGTCAACAGCTACCTAGTTAGTTAATTAATATTTTAGTTGCCCTTCTAAAATTTTATGAATGTTGGAAATCTTCAACATTTACAAACAATAAAGGGAATTAATGTAACACAGGTGTATGTAGTAGATAATTTAGGAAGTTATTCACATTAAATCTTCTGATTTTATAGCAATATTTTTGCTATAAAATGTATGTATTTATTCATATTTAAGGGACAGCCTGTCTATAATTGTAAATTTATTGCTGATAATAACCTGTACATAGAAATGATTTTCTCTGGCAGTCCTAATTATTTCTTTTGGTGGATGCACATAAAATTCCCAGTTTAAAAAAAAAAATCTAGGTTTTTATCCAACAGATTGTGAAGGGCCTTGAAGTATTTGTGCACTTGAAAATTCTTTACTATTAATGACTTACTTTGGATATGAGATTAAGATGACGTTACGAGACCGTGTATACTATAATATTTATTTTCTTGGATCAGATGTCTTTAGAAAGTGATAGGAAAGAACCTTGAGACACCATTTTGTAGTTATTAATATGTTTGCCTTTAGGAGACTTGGAATGGTGCTGTAAAATAAGCATTGGGATTGCAAGGCTGGTTTTTGAACTGCAAGGTCAGCAGTTCAAATCCATCACCAGCTCCTTGGAAACACACTAAAGGTTGACTCAATGGCTCTTAACAATGGCAACAATCACTGCCTTTATGGAGTAATGTACTAAAGTTGATGTTGTTTGTACTTTGAAAGGATTATCTCCAGAGGAGGAGATTCTGAAGTTAACCTGGTAATAACTTTCAGTGACCCAAAACCTTAGTCAGAAAATTTCAACGTTTCCCCCAAATATGTATACATCCTGAATTCCTTTTTCATGCTCTTGCTAGCAATAGTGGAAAACGGCTCAAATATCACTCACCTTTTCATATATCTGAGTTAATGTGTTTCCTTTATTTTATATTTTAAAGAGGATTTTAAGGATAAAACACCAAGAAAGTAGATTGGACAAAAGCTAATATCCAGTGTTAGTGTAGTGTTCAAATACATATCATCACTGATAACAGTTCCCTGTGTATGTTTCTAAGAAAATAAAATTTGTGTGTGTGCATGTATATTTATTTGTACCATAATAAAATAATCCATGCTCACTAAGACACAATTGGAAAGACATTCATCTATACAAGGGGACTTAAAAAATTTGTTGAAAAATTGAATTAAAAAATAATTGAATTTTTTCACAAACATTTTTTTTTTTTAATGTTTTATTGTGAATTATATGATAGTTTACATGGGAGAACTTTAGTTTTACATTCATTCCATCGTGTATCATCTCACTGTCATGGTTCCAATCCCCTCCATGCATCTTCAACCACCCAAAGGGTATATCCCAGAAACCCGCCCCCTACACTCCCTGCCCCCCTCCCCATTTTTCAGCCCACAGTCCCTTTCCCTCTCTGGGTCCAAAGTCCCCAGCCGCTTCATCACTCCACGTCATCGTCTCTGTCTCTATCTCAGGCATCTCTGTTTCTCTGGGTAGGGTC